GAATTAAGAATGCTAACTCAGGTCTCTCATATTCTTACAAAGCCACCATAATTCACTGATTCATTAACTCATTGATCCATGAATGGACTAATCTATTCATGAAGGCACAACCCTCATGACCTAATCGCCTCTTAAATGCTCCACCTATCAATACTGCCACATTGGGGATTAAGTTTTAACATGAACATTAGTGAGGACAAATTTTCAAACCAGAGCAGATGAGATTTATGGTTTAAGTTGGTTGCATCCTTAGTCTTCAAAGTAGGCATGAGCTCCTTCCTAACAGAAAATGAAGTGGTAATGGCATCACAGTTAGCCTAATTATCTGTAATACAATCTGTACAATCCTAATTATCTGTGGTAAATCTGTAGCCACAATCAATCTGTATTGTACAAATCTGTAGCCACAATCAACCTGTATTGATTGTGAAGTATGTATCCTGACGACTGTAGCACTTGTCTATTAAGGCAAGGATGGGGTGGAATGACTTCTTTTGAATGCTGCAGAGCTCTAACCCAAAGAAAATGGCAAACTCATATGATTATACTCTCAGTTTAAGTCATGTTCAGAGAACTAGAAAGCATCTGCAGGAGCCTAAAATTAATATTTTTATAATGGCATAGCTGACTTTGCTGATAATGAGATGCAAAATTTAGTTGTGTGGGGTAGAATTATACGGTAAGTTGAATTCACGCCTTCACTAAGTTTCTCACTTGAAATCTAGGGCATTCCTTGGGAAAGAGTGAAATAATGACACTTGTAATGGGGACATCTGGGTGATCACAGATGAAGCTGAAAATGTGGAGCTCTAGGATCACTCTGAGCCTCTCTTGACAGTAGAAGCCAACTGCCTTTCAGTATCTGAAAAGACTAACCTTTCTTGCTTCATGGCCTTATCTGGAACAGTTGCTTTGCAAGAAAGTGCCTTTCTCCCTAGGACTCACTGCAACCGTATATGGTTGCCACTACACCTAAAATTAGATAAGATCTCCCCATGTTCTAGGAGGACAAGGGTGAGGTCTGACTCAGGAGGAAACGAATTATTCTCTAAAAGAATTTAAAGATGCTCATTTATATTGAAAGAGACCTGGGTAATAGGCACTGGAATGGATTCTAAGGATAGTAAACCAAGGAGAACAAACTACAACACTTAATCAGTCCAACTTTATTCATATGACTTCATTTGCCAGAGATTCTTAAGTGTTAGTTTGTGCAGCTAGCAATTTATTCTAACAATTTGTCTCTAACAATTTACTTGGTTAGTTGACACTTGGGCTCAACAGCAAACTGATATTTAATGAGACTGAGATTCTAGAATTTCCTTGGTCTGACATAGAGAAGGAATCTGAAATCTTAAGGAAATTCGAATTTGGGAATAGTTTATCATATGCTAGGCCTAGAAGATACTTCCTTCACAGAAGTATGAGAAACAAGTGAGTGAGGGGAGCACACATGTCCTTAAAGAGCTCTGTGTTAGTTGTTGTGTAGATGGGAAACCATGGTGGGAGGTGCCCCACAACACAGGTGACACATTAATCAAGATTTGGTTGTTTTCTGCCTCTTAAATCTTTAGCTCCAAAAAGTAATCTTTCCGATCAGTTCAGGGCAGTAGAGTCCATCTAGGGTGGATTTCTCAGGCTTCATAAATTCAGGTTAATGATTTTAACTAAGCATTTATTTATCATATTCATTATTACATAAAAAGACTCTAAAAAAAACGTCTAATAATGATTTTCTCAATTCCTGGAGATGCATTCTGGCATGCTTCTCCAGAAATCAAGACCTAGTTTTGAAGTCTAGCCCTGGGATTGATGAGCTGAGGAACTTTAAGGAAACCATTTAACCTATCTGAGTCTTTGTTTATACTTTTACAAATATCTCACAGAGAAAATGAGGTTATGCATAGAAAGTTTAAACACGGTGCCCAGCATTTAGTAAGATTCAACAAACAGCCATTATCATTGTTATTATTTCATTTTCCATACCAGGTTGTCAGTTGACTTTTTCAAATAACACATTATTTCCCAAACTTATAGACAGGAAATATTCAACATTAATTCTACTGTTTAAATAAACCTAAACATCTTCTCTTTCTTTAGTGTTTTTAAAATTTCCTGTTCTAGCAATATTTTGGCTACATCTGAATCAAATAATATGATTTTGTTTAAAACCCCAAACTTTTCCCAGCTTGAAAAGAACAGGCTATGACTCACTAGGACTAACTCCATATTTCTTAAATATCTTGACTGATGATTGCTGACTTGAACTGAATTAATGCAAACTGCACTGAGGCTGTGGCTCAGGAAGACAGATGTCATGACAAGGAATGGTAGGAGTCCATTCTTGCTGATATGTCTGCGCCCTATTGTTAGTTGTCTTGCATCCTGGGCAAGGCAATTATTAACCAAGAAAGTGGTTTTAGATCTTTCTCTCCAAGTAGAAACATCTGTTTTATGGCTGGGTGTGTAGCTCACGCCTGTAATCCCAGCACTTTGGGAGGCCGAGGTGGGTGGATCACCTGAGGTCAGGAGTTACAGACTAGCCTGGCCAATGTGGCAAAACCTCGTCTCTACTAAAAATACAAAAATAGCCAGGTGTGGTGGTGCATACCTGTAATCCCAGCTACTCAGAGGACTGAGGCAGGAGAATCGCTTGAACGTGGGAGGTGAAAGTTGCAGTGAGCTGAGACTGCACCATTGCATTCCAGCCTGGACAACAGAGC